ATTGTCATTGGCCTTTAGGCGTGGGACCAGAGTTGGTCCGACGTGGAACGGGCCGGTGATTCGAAAATTGCCGCACCGTAGAGGGAGAGGCCGGAAGCATAGTCAGAGGAGAGCGAAGGTCAGATAAATCGAAGGAGTCTGTCGAGGCCTCAGTACCTGAAGCGGGTGAGGAAACAGCACCGGTAAGAGGTACAGAGGCATGAGGAGTGTCCGAAGAGTGGTCCAAAGACGAGGCGGGGTCAGAACGGGGTGCGGTATCAAGAAGGGGCCCGGGGGTAGCAGGTTCATGGACTAGGGCTGCCATGGTTAGGTTACTTCTTTCTTTTTGTTTTTAAGAAAAAAAAAAAAAAGAAAATAAAAATAAAAAAAAAAAAAAAGAATAAAAAAAGGGGGGACCGGGGAGGGATAGTTCCTAGGAGGAATGAAAGAGCCAGAAATCTCCCTCCGCGCCCAAGAGGACCTCAGCACCGCAAGTAGCGCAGATGCAGCATGGAACCCGTGCCATACCCTACCCATCATGCCAGTAAACTGGCAATCCGGGATAGCAACCTCACATCTGCTGAGCTACCTCGGTGGACAAAAGAGAGGGCGGCCGGAAATCTGCCACAAAGCATACCTCCTTCGGCCACCACCCCCGGAATCCGAAAGGTGGCTTCCAGAGATACACCCGTCGCCCGAGACACCCCCAAAGCCACCCTCCGGGATACCGGAGAGGGATCAGGACATCCTCAGGCAATCCAGATTCCACGGCAAACTACGCCACCGCCAAGAACCTCAACGGAATGGGATGGACCCCGGTACCCTTTCCCCTACCTAGGAACTAGCGTGCCTGTGGGAAAAAAAAAAAAAAAAAGGGGGCAAAAGGGAAGAGTGGGGAGGAGGAGGAGGAGGAGGATAGGAAAAAGGGGAGGATGGGATAGGGAACGGGGGATTGGGGGGTAATTAGGTTCGGTCTGAGGAAGTAGACCGACAGGTCTAATTCCTCAGACCAAGAGCCTCTTCACCACGCCAAGGAGCCCCCCCTTTAAGAGGTATGGTATGTATATATATATATATGCATGTGCATGTCTGTGAAGTGTGACCAAAGTGTAAGCAGGAGTAGCAAGATATCCCCGTTATCTAGCGTGTTTATGGATAGAGTTATCAGAGCTTATTTCTTGGGGAGCACTGAGGACTGGGTTGGGAAAATGTTTCGTTAGTGGGATGAATTGTAAAGGACCTGCCGAGCATGGGCCAACAGGCCTGCTGCAGTGACCCTCCTTTACGTTCTTATGTTCATCAACCACTATCACAACTGCTTCCACTCTACCACCACCATCTTTGTATTTTTCTACAAACTTTTTATAAATTGTGTGTTTCTCACATTCTTTACCAAATGGCTGGCACTAGGAGCTTTCTTTGGAGCCATGGTAGCTTATTTAGCACTTGCAAGCACTAAAATCAATGGAATATTATGAAATATTTCGTAGGAGCATGTAAGGGGACCGTCACTCACTGGTAAACAATGGCACACTGGCTGGGAAGGCAGGCCCAGGCGGCTCAGAGCGTGAGTACCCGTCCCGGACGAAGGACGATTAACGAGTTAACGGACCATTTGCTAGCCAATAGACGAAAAAACAGGACTATTTCCGAAATGGACGACTTTCAGGCCGGACGATTATTGAGGGACCACTGTATATATACCTCAAACACGGTGGCTCATAAGATGTATATATACGACCAAAACAGTCAAAGGGTTATATCAATGCTCTTATATGGGTGTGAAGCATGGGTGGTGAATGTTGCAACAAGGTGAAGGCTGGAGGCAGTGGAGATGTCATGTCTGACGTGTGATTATAACGCAGAGAATTCAAAGTTTAGAAATTAAGAGAAGGTGGGGGATTAGCAAAACTATTATCCAGAGGGCTGAGGAGGGGTTGTGGAGGTGGTTCAGACATGTAGAGAGGGTTGAACAAAACAGAATGACTTCAAAGTGTATAAATCCGTAGTGGAGGGAAGGCCGGGTAGGGGTCGGCCTAGGAAAGGTTGGGGGGACGGCGGAAAAGGTGTGTGTGTGAGGGGCTAGGACTTCCAGCAAGCATGTGTGAGCGTGTTAGATAGGAGCAAAAAGAGACAAATGTTTTTTAGGACTTGATGTGCTGTTGGAGTGTGAGCAAGGTAACATTTATGAAGGGATTCAGGGAAACTGGCAGGCTAAGACTTAGATCCTTGGAATGGGTAAGTACATAGCCTGCAATCTTATATAAAGCAACCTCTGGCGGAGACAGTCATTGAAGTGAACAATTACAAGTTTTTTCTTTCAGGACCACCCAATGCCTTAATTCGTAAAATGGCCATGTTATAATTATACAATTAATAATTTTATAATAATTATAAATAAAAAGGGTGGGCTGGAATACTAATATAGAGATAGGTCTACTTAGTGCCAGGAATGTCTGCATCTTTAATTCTGGGCCCTTCTGAAATTGGCCAATTCTTGAAATTTCGTTAATAATTGGGGCAAATTCATAATTTTTGATCAATTTTTGGGCAGGTTCTTGTACTCTAATTGCATAGAATAAAAGGAGTTTTTTTTTTAAATAGCTATGAATTGGTCATGGAGCAAGGATTGGGCCCAAAATAGGGCTCATAATGGCCAAAATCAGATGGTGTAATACCCCAGACTGTAACTTTGTGAGCTTAATTCAATAATTTTTCCAATCAAATTCGATCCTTATGGTTTCATTACCTTGGCAAAAATATTTAATAAGATTTTTTTTTTTTAATTCTTAACACCATTAGCAGGTTTGCGAGCCTAGTTGTACTTCACTTTGTAAGCATCAGATGGGTGTACTACACACATGTACAATGCATGTGTATACTATAAGGAAAGTTTCATAGAATGCAGGATGTGCCTGTCACTTTTGAGTCCAGGCAGGAAAGTGACACTCCAGCAATCCTACCACTTTGTAAAAATTACAAGTTTCAGTTTAACACTCATTTGGCAGGATGGTAGTACCTCCCAGGGTTGTTGCTGTCTACCTACTTACTAACAGGCAGGATGGTAGTACCTCCCAGGGTTGTTGCTGTCTACCTACTTACTACAGAGCAGGATGGTAGTACCTCCCAGGGTTGTTGCTGTCTACCTACTTACTAAGAGGCAGGAGAGTAGTACCTCCCAGGGTTGTTGCTGTCTACCTACTTACTAACAGGCAGGATGGTAGTACCTCCCAGGGTTGTTGCTGTCTACCTACTTACTAAGAGGCAGGAGAGTAGTACCTCCCAGGGTTGTTGCTGTCTATCTACTTACTAACAGGCAGGATGGTAGTACCTCCCAGGGTTGTTGCTGTCTACCTACTTACTAACAGGCAGGATGGTAGTACCTCCCAGGGTTGTTGCTGTCTACCTACTTACTAACAGGCAGGATGGTAGTACCTCCCAGGGTTGTTGCTGTCTACCTACTTACTAACAGGCAGGATGGTAGTACCTCCCAGGGTTGTTGCTGTCTACCTACTTACTAACAGGCAGGATGGTAGTACCTCCCAGGGTTGTTGCTGTCTACCTACTTACTAAGAGGCAGGATGGTAGTACCTCCCAGGGTTGTTGCTGTCTATCTACTTACTAACAGGCAGGATGGTAGTACCTCCCAGGGTTGTTGCTGTCTACCTACTTACTAAAGGCAGGATGAGTAGTACCTCCCAGGGTTGTTGCTGTCTACCTACTTACTAACAGGCAGGATGGTAGTACCTCCCAGGGTTGTTGCTGTCTACCTACTTACTAAGAGGCAGGATGGTAGTACCTCCAGGGTTGTTGCTGTCTATCTACTTACTAACAGGCAGGATGGTAGTACCTCCCAGGGTTGTTGCTGTCTACCTACTTACTAAGAGGCAGGAGGGTAGTACCTCCCAGGGTTGTTGCTGTCTACCTCCTTACTAACAGGCAGGAGGGTAGTACCTCCCAGGGTTGTTGCTGTCTACCTACTTACTTACAGGCAGGATGGTAGTACCTCCCAGGGTTGTTGCTGTCTACCTACTTACTAACAGGCAGGATGGTAGTACCTCCCAGGGTTGTTGCTGTCTACCTACTTACTAACAGGCAGGATGGTAGTACCTCCCAGGGTTGTTGCTGTCTACCTACTTACTACCAGGCAGGATGGTAGTATCTCCCAGGGTTGTTGCTGTCTACCTACTTACTAACAGGCAGGATGGTAGTACCTCCCAGGATTGTTGCTGTCTACCTACTTACTAACAGGTAGGATGGTAGTACCTCCCAGGGTTGTTGCTGTCTACCTACTTACTAACAGGCAGGATGGTAGTACCTCCCAGGGTTGTTGCTGTCTACCTACTTACTAACAGGCAGGATGGTAGTCCCTCCCAGGGTTGCTGCTGTCTACCTACTTTATTTATTTATTTATTTAGTAATTTGAGCATACATACAGAGGTACAAAAAATACAGGTAAGAGCAGCATGCCAAAGCCACTTGTATGCATAGCATTACGGGCTGGCTTAAAATTAACTTAAGATTAACTAAGCAATGATGTAATCAGTGATAAAACATTATTGTAAACAGATAACAATTAAGCACAAATAAGTATTACAAAGACACGTCATATGGTTGCATGCATTGCTGTACATTCAGTCAGGATAAAAACAAGAACAAAAGGGCATGTACGAAAATTATGGAAGAAAATGATCTATATAAATAGTAAAAATATGGAATAAAGTGAACAATGAAGGTAGAAGAGACATGACAATCATGTCTTATTATTTAGTCAAAAGAGCCACCTATATTTTACCCATGACCTGTTTCAGGATTATTCCAATTCTCATTGCCTGGTCTGGGGGGCTAGACTCCCAAAATCTACCAGCAGCACACTTATTGTGAATAAATAATTAGCAGTATTTCTCAATATGACTGCAATTATTACCTCCCTAAAGAGTAAATAGCAAAGGATAACTATCATTATCAACTAATTTAAATTGCTAAGCATCACTAATGCAGAAAAAAAATTATTAGAGCACCTCTGTTGATGGTTGTTTGTTTTGGTTCAGAGATCCCAATGTGGATGTGAAAGTGTTAGTTTGAAGCTTCTGAGACAGTTCTTGCTTCTCCTTCTCCAGTTTGTCAAGAATTTCTCTCTTGTGCCCCAAATCAAACTGAAGACGTTCAATATGGCTATGCATCTCTTCCACTTTATTCTTCAACTGATTATTTTCAGTACACAGTTGTTCTAGTTCTTTCTTTGTCTTCTCTCCACCCATTTTCTCCATTACTGCACTGTTCTTCCATTCTTGTGCCTTTGTCTTGTAATGTTCCAAGTGCTGAGTAAGAGTGTTGCACTCACTCTCAACACTTTTCTTTGCCTTCTCCAAGTGATAAATTTTATTCTGTAGATAAAGAACTTGAACTTCCTGAAAGATAAAACGTACATATATAAATTTAAAAATACTGAAGCTAACATACTGTAATATAGAATTTAAAGACCAAAAATAATGGAGAACATACTAAATTCTTTCTTTCAACACACTGGCTGTATCCCACCGAGGCAGGGTGGCCCAAAAGGAAAAACTAAAGTTTCTCCTTTTACATTTAGTAATATATAAAGGAGAATGGTTACTAGCCCCTTGCTCCTGGCATTTTAGTCACCTCTTACAACACGCATGACTTACGGAGGAAGAATTCCATTCCACTTCCCCATGGAGATAAGAAATAATCAAGAACAAGAACTAGAAATGAAAAAAAGAAGAAAACCCAGAAGGGTATGTATATATATGCTTGTACATGTATGTGCAGTGTGACTTAAGTTTAAGTAGAAGTAGCAAGGCGTACCTGAAATCTTGCATGTTTATGAAACAGAAAAAAAGACACCAGCAATCCTACCTTCGTGTAAAACAATTACAGGCTTTCGTTTTACACTCACTTGGCAGGACGGTAGTACCTCCCTGGGCGCTTGCTGTCTACCAGCCTACTACCTATAAACATACTATATATAAATGTTAATTATTTATTTTCTTAAAATGTGTTTAAACCATATGGTTCATAAAGCAACACAAGACAAAGGGAAGTTATCAACAATAGGAAAAGTTTGTGACAAACTTAGGAGCTAACAAAGAAAGCTGGAGTAAGCCAATGTGTGTGGTGTGTGTGTGTTTACCTGGAGAGAGTTATGGGGGTCAACGCCCCCGCGGCCCGGTCTGTGACCAGGCCTCCTGGTGGATCAGAGCCTGATCAACCAGGCTGTTGCTGCTGGCTGCACGCAAACCAACGTACGAGCCACAGCCCGGCTGGTCAGGAACCGACTTTAGGTGCTTGTCCAGTGCCAGCTTGAAGACTGCTAGGGGTCTGTTGGTAATCCCCCTTATGTATGCTGGGAGGCAGCTGAACAGTCTCGGGCCCCTCACACTCATTGTATGGTCTCTTAACGTGCTAGTGACACCCCTGCTTTTCATTGGGGGGATGTTGCATCGTCTGCCAAGTCTTTTGCTTTCGTTTGCGAGTGATTTTCATGTGCAAGTTCGGTACTAGTCCCTCTAGGAAAATTTTTCCCGGTTTTATATAATCATGTATCTCTCCCGCCTGCGTTCCCGGGAATACAGATTTAGGAACCTCAAAACGCTCCCAGTAATTGGATGCTTTATCTACGTTTTTGCGCGCCGTGAAGGTTCTCTGTAATTTCTAAGTCAGCAATTTCACCTGCCTTGAAAGGTGCTGTTAGTGTGCAGCAATATTCCCCGCCTAGATAGAACAAGTGACCTGAAGAGTGTCATCATGGGCTTGGCCTCCCCAGTTTTGAAGGTTCTCATCATCCATCCCGTCATTTTTCTAGCAGAAAGCGATTGATACAAAGTTATGGTCCTTGAAGGCGAGATCCTCCGAATGATCACTCCCAGGTCTTTGACGTTGGTGTTCGCTCAATTTTGTGGCCAAAAATTTGTTTTGTACTCTGATGAAGATTTAATTTCCTCGTGTTTACCATATCTGAGTAATAGAAATTTCTCATCGTTGAACTTCATATTGTTTTCTGCGCCCACTGAAAGATTCGGTTGATGTCCGCCTGGAGCCTTGCAGTGTCTGCAATGGAGACACTGTCATGCAGATTCGGGTGTCATCTCAAAGGAAGAATGGTGCTGTGGCGACATCCTTGTCTATTTTTGCATTTTGTTGTTGTGTGCGTGGGGTGTTTTGTGGTGTGTGGTGTGGTGAGTGTGTGTGTGTGTTGAGTGGTGTGGTGGGTTTTTGTTGTGTGGTGTGTGTGGGGTGAGTGTTGTGGGTGTGTGTTTGGTGTTGTGTGTTTGGTGTGTGTGTGTTTGGTGTGTGGTGTTTGGTGTGTGTGTGTTGGTGTGTGTGTGTTGGTGGTGTGTGTGGTGGTGTGTGTGTGTGGGGGGTGTGTGTGTTGGTGAGTGTGTGTTTTGGGTGTGTGTGTGTGTTGTGTGTGTTTTGTGTGTGTGTGGTGTTTGGTTTTTTGGTGTGTGTTTGGGTTTGTGTGTGTGTTTGGTGGGGTGTGTGTTTGGTGTGTGTGTGTTTTTGGTTTGGGTGTGTGTTTGGTTGTTTGTGTGTTTGGTTGTGGTGTGTTTGGTGTGTGGTGTGTGTGTGTCGTGTGTTTTGTGTGGTGTTGGTGTGAGTGTGTGGTGTGTGTGTGTGGTGGTGTTGTGTGTGTGTTGTTTTTGTGTGTGTGTGGTGTGTGTGGTGTGTGTGTGTGTGTGTGTGGTGTGTGTGTGGTGTGTGTGGGGTGTGTGTTTTGTGTGTGTGTGTGGGGTGTGTGTGTGGTGTGTGTGTGGGGTGTGTGTGTGGTGTGTGTGTGGGGTGTGTGTGTGGGGTGTGTGTGTGTGGTGTGTGTGTGTGTGTGTGTGTGTGTGTTGTGGTGTGTGGGTGTGGGGTTGTGGGGTTGTGTGTGTGTGTTGTGTGTGTGTGGTGTGTGTGTGTGTGTGTGTGTTGTGTGGTTGTGGGGTGTGTGGTGAGTGTGGGGTGTGTGTGTGTGTGTGTGTGTGTGTGTGGTGTGGGTGTGTGTGTGGTGGTGTGTGTGTGTGTGTGTGGCGTGTGTGTGTGTGTGGTGGTGTGTGTGTGTGTGTGTGTGTGGTGTGTGTGTGGTGTGTGTGTGGTGTGTGTGTGGTGTTGTGTGGTTGGTGTGGTGTGTGTTGTGTGTGTGTGTGTGTTGGGTGTGTGTGTTGTGTGGGGTGTGTGTGTGTGGGGGTGTGTGGTGAGTGTGTTTTGGGTTTGTGTGTGTGGTGTGGGGTGTGTGTGTAGTGTTTTGGGGGTGTGTGTGGTGTGTGTGGTATGGTGTGTGGGGTGTGTGTTGGTGTGTGTGGTGTGGTGTGTGATGGTGTGTGTGTGGTGTGTGTGTGGGTGTGTGTGTGTGTGTGTGTGTGTTTGTGGTGTGGTGGTGTGTGGGGTGTGTGTGTGGTTGTGTGTGGTGTGTGTGTGGTGGGGTGTGTGTGGTGTGTGTGTGGTTGTGTGGTGTGTGGGTGTGTGTGGTGTGTGGGGGGGTTTTGTGTGTTGTGGTTGTGTGGGGTGTGTGGGGGTGTGTGTGTGTGTGTGGATGTGTGGGTGTGTGTTTTGTGGTGGTGTGTGTGTGTGGTGTGTGTGTGGGTGTGTGTGTGTGGTGTGTGTGGGTGTGGGGGTTGTGTGGTTGTGTGTGTGTGTGTGTGTGTTGGTGTGTGTGTGGTGTGTGTGGGTGTGTGTGTGGTGTGTTGTTGGTGTGTGGGGTGTGGTGGTGTGTGTGGTGTGTGTGTGGGTGTGTGTGTGGTTTGTGTGTGTGTGGTGTGTGTGTGGTGTGTGTGTGGTGTGGTGTGTGGTGGTGTGTGGTGTGTTGTGGTGTGTGGTTGTGTGTGGGTGTGTGTGTGTGTGTTGTGGTGGTGGGTGTGTGTGTGTGTGGTGTTGTGGGTGGTGTGTGTGTGGTGTGGTTGTGTGTGTGTGTGGTGTGTGGTGTGTGTGGTGTGTGGGGTGTGTGGTGTGTGTGGGGGTGTGTGGTGGTGGTGTGGGGTGGGGGTGTTGTGGGGTGGTGTGTGTGGTGTGGGTGTGTGTGGTGTGTGTGTGTGTGTGTGGTGTGTGTGTGGTGGTGTGGTGTGGTGTGGTTGGGGTGTGTGTGGTGTGGGTGTGTGTGTGTGTGTGTGTGTGGGTGGTGTGGGTGTGTGTGGTGTTGTGTGTGGTGGGGCGGTTCAGTGTGTGTGTGGTTGTGTGTGGGTGTGTGGTGGTGTGGGTGTGGTGTTGTGTGGGGGTGTGTGGTGTGGTGTGTGTGTGTGGTGTGTGTGGGGTGTGTGGTGTGTGTGTGTGTGGTGGTGGTGTGTGGTGGGTGGGTGTGTGGGGTGTGTGTGTTGGTGTGTGGTGTGTGGTGGCGTGTGTGTGGTGTGCTTGTGGGTGTGTGTGTGTGAGGGTGTGTGGGGTGTTGTGTGTGGAGCGTGTGTGGTGTGTGGAGCGTGTGTGTGTGTGAGAGCGTGTGTGGTGTGTGATGGGCGGTGTGTGGGTGTGAGAGAGCGTTGTGTGGTGGAGAGCGTGTGTGTGAGAGGTGGTTGGTGTGTGAGAGAGCGTTGTGTGTGTTGGAGGAGCGTGTGTGTGAGAGAGCGTTGTGTGTGTGAGAGGATGTGGGTGTGTGTGAGAGAGCGTGTGTGTGTAGAGAGAGCGTGTGGTGTGAGAGGCGTGTGTGTTGTGTGGAGAGCGTGTGTGTGAGAGCGTGTGTGAGAGGTGTGAGAGGCGTGTGTGTGTGAGAGCGTTTTGTGTGAGGCTGTGTGTGAGAGCGTGTGTGTGAGAAGCGTGTGTGTGAGAGAGCGTGTGTGTGAGAGAGCGTGTGTGAGAGAGCGTGTGTGTGAGAGAGCATGTGTGTGAGAGGAGTGTGTGTGAGAGGGTGTGTGTGAGAGCGTGTGTGTGTGAGAGCGGTGTGAGAGGATGTGTGTGAGAGAGCGTTGTGTGTGAGAGAGCGTGTGTGTGGTGTGAGAGAGCGTGTGTGTGAGAGAGCGTGTGTGGAGGAGCGTGTGTGTGAGAGCGTGTGTGTGAGAGAGAGCTGTGTGTGTGAGAGGCTGTGTGTGTGGAGAAGCTGTGTGTGGAGAGCGTGTGTGTGTGTGAGAGCGGTGTGTGTGAGAGAGCGTGTGTGTGAGAGAGCGTGTGTGTGAGAGAGCGTGTGTGTGAGAGAGCGTGTGTGTAGAGCGTGTGTGAGAGAGGTGTGTGTGAGAGAGCGTGTGTGTGAGAGAGCGTGTGTGTGAGAGAGCGTGTGTGTGAGAGCGTGTGTGTGAGAGAGCATGTGTGTGAGAGAGCTGGGGTGCTGTGTGAGAGCGGTGTGTGTGAGAGAGCGTGTGTGGAGAGTGAGAGAGCGTGTGTGAGAGAGAGCGTGTGTGAGAGAGAGCGTGTGTGAGAGAGAGCGTGTGTGAGAAGCGTGTGTGTGAGAGCGGAGGCGTGTGTGTGTGAGAGCGATGTGTGAGAGCTGTGTGA